AAGAAATGATCAAAAAATGAAGGCATAAAATGCCAAAGCAAATTTTAAAAACTACTTTTATGTAGAAGTGGTAAATCATATTATAGAAGTCAATCAGAGTGTGTGATAATTTACAGTAGCACATCATCAATATTGTTTTATAACGTTCACTGTTTGGAAATAAGTTTTGTGGTATTGAATATTTATACCCCACTGTTTTATGTTTGCACTGCTAGCATAGATAAATAATGAATTAACATTAAATCATTTAAAATGTTAAAAGGTGGAACAATAAAAGCAGCTAAATAGAATGCAAACTAGCTTAAGCAATCTTTTGAAAACTCGAATGAAGGAATTTTGTGCCAAAAACAATGCTAGATATCAAGTATGCCTTTAGGAAGATGATGAATCTCCAAAATGCTGTCCTAATCAACAGGACCTTCCAGTAAAGCAGGGATGGGATGCTATCAGTTCTGTCCAGTTCTATAAAGCTGGTAGCTCTGAAGAGCAGCAGGCACTGAACCGGTTCTGTGTTTGCTGCTGTTTGGCCCACCTGCCTGAGCAGGCTCTTACTTGTCCTTTATTTCCTGCTTTTTCTTTTTCTTTTTTTTAATTTAAAAAAAAATTATTTACAGATTTAAAAATGTACAATTTCAAAAATACAGAAACAATAATATGTGAATAACACATAATTCTTTACATTTGTTATCAAATTGTTACCGCACATCTGAGGTTGAAAAAGCAGGGAAAAAGAGGATTTCCAAATGCTGTGCATCTGCACGCAGCACTTTTCAGCTGTCTGGGCGGCACAGCCTAAGGTTGTTTTACACGCGTGCATCAGGCGCACATGTGTGTGAAGCGTGCATGCGCATGCAAAACATAGTCACTGAACTGGTAGTAACACTGGTTGAATCCCACCCCTGCTGTAAAGTAAACAAAGTTTCATCACTTCTGTCATTCATCTTCATTATACAATGATTTGTTATGAAAAGGTAACACTGCAAGATTCAGAAGAGAGAAGATAATGAGAAAGGCAAGAAAGTTCTGAAAAAATACTTCTATTTTTGTTTTGTTGATATATTAAGGCTTTTAACAGTGTCGACTGCAATAAATTCTAGATATCCTTTGAAAATAGCTTAACCACATCACCATAGCTGCTTATTGAAGGAACAGATACCATTAGATACTATATACCATATTTAACTTATATACCAATATATGACAAAAATGCTGGAGCCAAGAAGTACAAACTGGAATGAAAAATGGAAAGAATCAAGAACCTTGAATATACTGATGATACCAGTTTAATAGCTGGACGATTATGCTAGTGGGGCAACCCAGTACAAAGAAGAGGAAGAAGAGGACAAGAAGGGCAAGGGCATATCTGGCAGTTTCCTTTTGGGCTGTACTTCCAAGAATAAGGATGCAAGCTTGGCACTGATTTTTTTACTGCCTTTCTGGGGGGCATGTGATCTTAAATCTGGATGATTTCCTTAGGATATCTTGTGAGGTAAGTGAAACCAGTTGTGTCTTTAAGTGGTGCAAATGGATCTAAGGATTGCTTCTCCTAGGTGTGCTCTTTCTGGAGAGCTTAAATGACCTCTCTGCTAAAAGGTTTCACTTTATGAGCAAGAGCTGGCTGCTGATAGTTATTGCATTTTAACTATTTTAATTCCTCAAGGTGCTCTGGCACCCTGCCTGACTTTTAACTCCGGCTTGCAGGCATTTTTAATCTAATGATTGGTATTTAGGGCAGCTTTTTGCAAGCAAAGCAGCTTTTGTATTTTTGTACAGGTAATCCTTGACTTACAAAACAGTTCATTTAGTGACCATTCAAAGTTACAATGGCACTGAAAAAAGTGACTCATGACCGAATTTCACATGACGGTTGTAGCATCCCCACAATCATGAGGCCAGGTGAGGCCCTCGATGTGAGTGATGTTGAGTTGGCCACACCCAGCCAGTCACATGACCACCAAGCCACACCCATAAATTAAGCCATGCCCACAGAACCGGTTGTTAAGAAATTTGAATCCCACCCCTGACTGGATCTGTGTGGGGTAATGCAACGCCATCCAGAGTTAACAATGAGGTCCCTTGCATCAGTGGTGGGATTCAAATTTTTTTACTAACAGTTCTGTGGGTGTGGCATGGCTTGGTGGGTGTGGCAGGGGAAGGATACTGTAAAATCTCCATTCCAACCCCACTCCAGGGGAAGGTTACTGCAAAATCCCATTCCCTCCCCACCCCACTAACCTGCTTTCCAGCTCCGTTCTCCTGTGCAGGGCAACAAAAGAAGACCCAGCCGATCAGCTGGGACTTGGGAGGCAAAGAATAGATGGGGGCGGGGCCAGTCAGAGATGGTATTTGCCGGTTCTCCGAACTACTCAAAATTTCCGTTACTGGTTCTCCAGAACTGGTCAGAACTTGCTGAATACTACCTTTGTCTTGCATCCACAGCCACTTTGTCTTGCCTGGAATATTGCTCTAAAATTTTTGAAGTTCTGATCAATCTGTAAAAATCTAAAATTTGTATTTTCAGAACATCTGAAGGATATCAGACTAGAGAAGGCTGTACTAGATTAATTCCATCCATAATAAATAAAACATCAGGCTTAATGTCATCTTTTAAATAAAATTTAGGGCGCAATCATGCATATATACATTATGCAAAATGTCTCATTAAGTTCTCTGAGTACAAAAACCTGTCTAAATTTCATTGGAAGTTACCATTACTATGGTTGACATCCTAAGCCACATTTTGTAAACTCTAGTTTACAGTTGTCTGGATCACATATTGTATTAAGCCATAAATAATGGCTGATAAAAATTATGATAAACCAAAAATAGGTGGGTTTGCATATTACTTTAACCCTAAACTAAACAAACCAATTTATGGTTTCATGTGATGTGTAAAACTAATTTGTTTTAAGGAAATATTTGGTCTGTACTTAAATACTAAGCCAACTATAGTTTAATGAATAAACCATTATCTGGTTTACACTTATTCAGCTCTAACATTATATGACTAAATAGATTCGAAGGGCCTGTTAAATCACAAAGAAACCACTTCAAGCTAAACTACTTGTGTTCTTAAGAAATAGGCTGGCCAGGTTAAGTTTGTTAAAAATACTGGTTTGTTCATTTCCAGAAAATGAAAATCAGAATCCCTAAGCAGCATATATAAGACTCGTCGTGCCATTTTTTTCCTGCAACAACAGTGGGATTGGTTGATCTGAGAGCAAATGGCTAAAATTATCCAGTGGACCTTTGTGGCTGAAGGTGAACTTGAACCTGAGTCTTGGGTTCATAAATAAGTCCAGCATTGCAATGCTCACTACATTGCTGTGTTGTAATAATAATGTTTACTATATCCTTGAACTTTAATGGCTATAACAATATTTATAATTTTGCTCACACAATTACTGTATCATAAACACTTCTGCCTATTATGTTGGATGAACTTATACTATTTGCTTCTAGTTTGGAATGTTATAATTCCTCTCAATGTCACATAAGCCTTATTCTGCAAATACGTACAGCTATGTGATGATTTAAATACTGGCTAATGTGCCTAGCTGCACTGAAGCTTTTTCTGTGACAGCCCCTGTATTTTCAAACATTCTTCTCCCTGGATTTTGTCAGGCCTCTGGCCTCCTAGCCTTCCAAAAAGCACTTAAGTCCTGGATTTTCCCCTCAAGTCCTAGGAGATTGCACATCAGAATCTAGACTTACTGCAATATTTTTTGCTTTTGTTTTTAAGGTTTAAAATATAAACGTTTTTATGTTATATTATTTTAAGTTTCTCTGCCTGCAAGGCAGCAGGCATACTTAATACTCTTTCTATTAATTCATTCAATTTCTATAGCCTCCCATCTCAGCAAATGACTCTGGGAGCTCACAATTCAAAACATATTACAATTAATATCTTAAAAACATTTTAAAACAGGGATGTCAAACTCATGTTATGATGCAGCATCACATGATGTATTGGGGCTTTTCCTCCCTTGGCTAAACTGAGCATGGCCAGCATGTGATGCATCCGGCCCCTGGGCCGCAAGTTTGACAGCCCTGTTTTAAAACAATAAAAGTAAAAAAGCATTAAACCAGTAAAAACATAAAAACATCTAAGTATACAGAAAGCAAGATGTCTGTGCTGTTAACAATACTGTATAGCCCAGAGGCAGGACGTTTGGCACAGGTAGCACTCCAGACTAAAGAGCATAGTCAGATTTTTTTAAAGCTTTACAGAAGGTTAACAGAGATGGGGCAATTCTGATTTCCAAAAGGGCTAGGGCTGCTGCAGAAAAACCAGCTGACATTCTTTGGCTGATAGAACCTGTATGCCTGTCCTATTTGATCTAGTTGGACGGATAGAAATTCTGGAAAAAAGATGATCTCTCAAGTACCATGGTCCCAAGCCATGACAGCTTTATAGGTAACTACCAGCATCTTGAATTGCATTGGTAAACAGCTCAGGCAGTCGTGTTATGTGTGCCATATATCTGGCACCCTTTCTTCCAAATCACGGTTCACTTAAGTCTGTGAGCCCTCACGAACTTGCTTTCCTTAACTTGGCCACCCTCCTTCTTAACGCTTTTGTGATATAAGACGTGTCTATCCTGGAGAGAGGCGTATGAATGACAAGCAAATGTAATCGAGAAAGGAAAGGGGAGATGTAAACTTTTGACAAAAAAAATTGTTTTCGGGCATTGAGTTTCATGTCAAGTCGGCAAGGACAACAGTTTTTTGTAGGTTTCTTTTTCCCTCTCTTTAATTAATCGATCCGTCCCAAACCCACGACAACAGGGCAGGGAAAGTCAGCGCTTCCACTCCATGGGGACGCAGCTGCAAAAGCAGACCAAACTGCACTCAGAAAATCGCTCGGCGCGAAGCCCACTCGGGGCCACTCCAGGCACGGATTTGCTTAAGCCCGTTCGCGACAGCCGCGCCAGGCCCGAGGACACCGGCGGATCACGCGCGTCCCAGCTGCTCTTGGAGGCTGGTTTCAGCCAATGGGCGTGCAGGAGCGGCCCTTCCTCTCGGCTGGTTGGCGCGTCAGTCCCGGCGCCGCTTACTACTGCCTTCGTTCGCTGTGCCGGGGAAAGAGGCCGGCTGCACAAGGTAAAAGCATGGCTGCCAAGGTAAGTCCCAGGGTCTGGCGCGTGGAGAGCAGCGCGAACACTTGCTGGTACTGCGCCCTTGCAGCAAATGGCTTCTAATCCGGGCTTTCTGCAGGCAGGCCTTGTCTAGCAGGGCAGCCGAAATGGGCAGCATGCTGTGTGACCTAGGGCCTGTCCTTGGGTCGCTTGGCCCGCTTTGGGTAGCGGAACCCTAGCCGCGCTGTTTCCGGATCCGAATAGGGAAAGGAGACAAAGAGGATTTGCTTCAATCTTCTGGCCTTTTTCCTGATGGCTGAGGCAGTGGATGGGAACAAGCTCGCTGTCTGTTGAGAGGGACGGAGAGTTGCATAATGATCTTGCCCAAGTGCTCTGCTAAATCTTGCTAATTATCCATTTAGTCCAATTAGTTTATGTAGTGCAGTGTCCACAAAGCCTAGCCAAGAGTTTAATAAGTTTTCCCCAGATCTGATAGTGCCTTTTGAGGATGGAGATCTGATTGTTTTATTAGGGTCCATGGCCATTAGTAGATCAACCTACCCCCCCCCCCCCTACATCCCCTAGTAGTTTTACTGAACATTTTAAAGAGTTTGCAGTACAGAAAGAAAAGTATTTTGGGTACATTCAGATTATCTCTGGGTTCTTGGTTCCTTTCTAGAAAACAGCTGTTAAGGCCTGCCTTTCACAGTAAGATATCTGCCTGAATATTAAGATCCATTCTGGTTCTTGCAAATATGAATGTGGGCTTACTCACATTTATTAATGGGTTTATTTCACATTAGATCTGCCCAGGAGTTCTGTCCTTAAAAATGGATTGGGAGACACTGAATCTTGTTAGATTCCAGTTTCCATTAGCTGAAGCCAAAATAGACAATGGTAAGAAATAATGACATTTATAATCCAGCACTATCCCGTGACCACTGGATTCTGTTTCTTTCCTCTGTAATAAATAAAATGGCTTTGGAATGCCATTTCTACCTGCGCTCTTCAACTTTTAAACTGTTCTTAGTTTGGAAACAGATTTCCTGTTAGAGATATAAATTCAGATCCTGTATATTTATAGAGACTATCTTTCATACCATAATAATTTTCTTTCTTTGTTGGAATAGTATCTTTTTGAAATAACTGTCTGTTCCTAGTATAACACCTGTAACAGTTCAAAGAGCTAAGAATGATACAAAGGTCATATTTATGTAAGATTTTGGTTTCAACAGTGATAAAAGTCACTTGACTAACTTTGACTGTTCCCCAATTCAAATACAGAGCGAAAGCTGGTTGTTAGCCAAAGGGAGGAATTAGATTAAAAGTATAGTAATTATTTATTAACAAATATATTTAAAAATCTTAGGCATTAAAATTCCTTATTTTCTTGTATGCTCCTTTTTCTCTCTCCCATTAAATACCATTTGACTGATGCAATGAATGGAGGGTTGGTTGGTTCATGCATCACATTAAAGAAGCATGATCACTGATTCCAACCAATGCATTGAACCACAAAGTAGTAAGCTGCATATTAGTACAGTATTTTGCGTATACTATGTGATTAATTTATGGTTCATTTTATGATATGAATTCAGAACGTTTGACTGAACCATTCGATTAATCATAGAATAAGTGTGTTGTGTGAATCAAGCCAATATCTTTATTGATTTTGGTTTAGTACTTTGGACAGTGTACTAAATGACATTAGTCATAGTGGTTTGCACAACAGTGGTATTTAAATGAGTGACTTGTGGTTTATTAATTGAATCATACTTGATCAGTGTATTTTATGTTATTACCTTTCTCTTTAATATTGATATTGAAGTTAAACTGAAAAGAAAAAAGTAAAACATTAACAATAAAACCTTCATTATGATTATAAAACCAGCAGTCACAGCCAAATGAAAACAAATTACAAGCACACACATACACAAGCACACAGGTTGCCATTATGTAGCAACTGCATTTTTTAGTAACTTCAAAGTTACAATAGTGCTAAAAATCAATGTAGTGATGTGTTCTCACATTTATGATCTTTACAACAACTCTGCTGTTATTTTCACTTGGTTATTTATGCCATCCCAAGATATCCTCAAAAAGCAAACTCAGTTCTGTTCAAAGAAATAACAAAAAGTAAAAGAAAATTAAAATAAAATTGTAAGCAGTCACATTATTTACATTTAGCTATTTATTTATTTAAATTGCTGGTCCCAATTGTGGCCACTAAACAAGGACTATGTGTTTACATACAGAGAGAGAGGAGAGAGAATGTGCGTGTACTTCTGAGTTTATTTGTACTTGTAAAAATCCATATATTTTTAATGTCTGTGTGTATATGTTAAAAAACTGGTACCATTTTTTGAAATTGAAGGAGAGATGAGTGGTACTTAAAGAGTCACAAAATAGACCAATGTGGTAGGATTATATCCGAATAATTGTTGAATAGGGAAAAGAATAAATAGAAGTCATGCTTTTGGTCAGGGAGCTGCTTTTTTGGGGGGCGGCGGTAGGTGATAAAAACTGGGTGTAACTGTGGAGCAATAAAATATCCTACGGCTCATAGACTACTAATTGATCCTCATAATGACATATACATAATATAGGATGGTATTTTGCAATGCTCTGGCAGAACAGAAGGCATCTGATTGGACAAAGTGAAATTTCAGAACTATGTTGGTGAAAAAGTAAGAAACGGACAATATGAATATTATGGGAATATCTTTTCTAGTTGAGGAAGTTCTCATTGCAGCTAGCCAGCCAAACAGAAAATACTGAAGAAATGTATTCATACATATGCAAGTTACCAAGTGAAGCCATGCTTATATGAATGGTCTATCATGCACACAGTACCACAGAGATAATTTCCATGTTGCTTCAGATATATTGGGATCAGTTTTTGCTTGCAAGAAAATTGGATGGACATGTAAAAGAAATAATGAGTAATCACAGTTTCCTGTAAGTGTCCAAAGTATATAATAAGCTATATGTATGATATTGTCACACAATATAACTAATGATTTAGTTACATAAAATGTCATTAATTCCTACATGAAAGAGGATTTGTGATGATGACACTACTATAACATTAACCAAAGCTATAATTTTAAATATATTTGTTTTCACTGCACATATTGGAACTTCTTAAAATATGTAAGATTTTGTTGTAAATTGCAAAGAGGTCACAAAAGATGGGTGTCCTTTGTTCATTTACTCCCTACAAGTATAACATACTCATTTTCAGACATAATAACATTTGTGAGGGGGTGAAAAAAAACCTGAATTTAATGAAACGCTTTTGGGTTGTTCTGGTGATTTTTTTTTAATCTTCATTGGGCTTTTTTTCTAGCCTGCTGAGATACTTATGAATTTCTAGTAATGATTAGAGTCTGAATGTTTTGAAGACACTATATTGTCCTGTATTGTATTAAGATTTAATTCTTAATCATATTTTATTATCTAAAACTTTTGTCTAGTTATAATGAAATTGCTTTTATTTATACTGTCAAATTGTTTGAGATGATTAGCCAGGCATCATACAATATCTTAAAGAATAACTAAAGGCCATGTTACCTCTAAGTCTCCCACCTCTATTTTTGTGGGTCCTTGAATAGTGTTGATAACAGTCAACCATGTGCTTTCCTACTTTTTCTGAAGCAGAAGAATGAGAGATATAATGCAACAGATTTGGCATAATTTAAAAGCAAGTATCTCCTGAAACTTCCCTCTTACCTGAAATAAGTCTTAGTCCTCTCCATGACTCCATCCAATTTCATCATGGTCTCTCTTGAAACATGATTTGCTACAGCCCATAATCTCCCTTAAAATTTAAAATATACCTCTTAACTACCAATTTTTTTCCCTTCTATACTTGTATCTGAATCTTAAACTATTTTCCTCAAAAATATACAAATCCACCTTGATATAATATATATCAAACACAGCCTCTATTTGCATATGATATGTATGTAGTTTGTGCTAATGGTTTTAGGCACCAGGCTAGAAAACAGGAGACCAGTGGTGGTATTCGACTGGTTCGGCATGGTTCTGGTGAGCCGGTAGGAGCAATGAGCAGTGGAGACCGAAACGGTTCTCTCCTCTGCTCTGTTGTTGGGCCCACTCACCCGCCCGGGCTCCCATACTCTCTTTTATCTGCTGAATTTGAAGTGCAGGTGCTTTGCGCGGCACAGAATAGTGCTGCGCGACAGTTGCTGAAGCAACCAGGATCGTGCGGGCTTGCAGGAGGTGAGTTAGAATGCCTCTGCATCTGCGCAAACGCCTCTGCACCTGCGCAAAGTGTGCATTTGGCGCGTGCTTGCACACAAAGTGTGTGCACGCTCACAAAGTGTGCCCACCAAGCCACACCCATTGAACTGGTGGAAACAACATTTGAATCCCACCACTGCATGAGACTATAAGTAGTAATCCCATCTTAAGCATGAAAGGAGGCTGGGTGAATTTGAGTCTCTGAGCCATTCTGTCTCAACCCAGTTCACCTCACAGCTTTTTTTTTAATTATGGCAAAAGTACTAAGTTGAAAGATATTACTATCATTACATCACCATTTTGAGTTATTTTATAAAAATGTAACTTGCAAATATATCAATTTTGCGGCTTCACTCAGTACACTTTACATTAAATATATAGTTGACTTGCATAGAATACTTAGCTGATATTTGGTTGGTTGGTTTATGGTTTAGTGCAGGGGTGTCCAACCTTTCACCTTCCCTGGGCCACATTAGACGATGAAAATTTGGTTTGGGCCGCACATAATTAAATTAAATAAGAAATTAAATTAATTAAATTAAATAATTAAATTAAATTAAATTAAATTAAATTAAATTAAATTAAATAAATTAAATTAAATTAAATTAAATTAAATTAAATTAAATTATTATTTATTATTAATTATTTATTAAAAATTATTTATTTTTTATTTTATAATTTTCCGGCCAAATTTTGCGGAGGGGAGGGGGGGAAAGAAAGCTCGCCCGCCCCACGTCTACCTCTCCTCCTGCAAATGCAGCAGCAGTGGCGGCGGCAGC